TTTTTTGGCAGAATGAACAATGTTGTCCTCCCAACTTCTGCGCTTGGTCGGCAGAAGAGCCCTTTCCACCTCTGTGTGTCTGCAGGGACATGGTGAGTACCGGCCTAGCAGCCGTCTGACTTTAGCCGTTCACGTACAACGGATATTAAAGCTGAACTCCAGGAACAGATCCACTTTGTGTGCACCAAATGCCTTCGCCAATAAAGGTATTTCTATGTAACGGTGACCTCATCACTGTGCTGTACATAGCCTGAAGGGGACCAGCAGGCCCCACCCGCTACAGGAGAAGGTGGAGACAAGACCAGTCACCCTGCACAAGGTGAGAGAGCGGCAGTGAGCGGTCTTTATTATAGGAGGGGGCGGAGACAAGACCAGTCACCCTGCACAAAGAGAGAGCAGCAGTGACCGGTCTTTATTATAGGAGGGGGCGGAGACAAGACCAGTCACCCTGCACAAGGAGAGAGAGCAGCAGTGAGCGGTCTTTATTACAGGAAGGGGCGGAGACAAGACCAGTCCTGCACAAGGAGAGAGAGCAGCAGTGAGCGGCCTTTATTACGGGAAACTCCTGCACAGTCAAAGTGGTGGAGCGGTTTTTCGAGCGAGGCTATACAGGCCTCTTGTATCTAGATTACTTCGCCTGGAGTTCAGCTTTAAACACTGTGCTCCATGTATGTGTGTGACCGGTTCTCTTTGACATGCCTGTGTTCTAATGATGTATTGAAGCCTGCACGTTCTATTCACCTTCAGCTATGTGTGGCGTCTTGTTCCGAACGCCGGTTGCCATGACCGTGTACGTGGCATTGTAAGGGAGACTCTGCAGAAAATGCAGGGGGGGGCGGTGCTGTAGGTAAGTGTGCCGGGGTATCTGTGGCACATCAATGGTCCGGGCAATTTACCGGGAGCGGTGGAGGTGCACAAACACGGCAGTTGTATTACATTTCCTTATTGGACCTCCGACACCTAATGTTTTATTAGGTTATAGATATATTGAGATCCATGTGTCTCATAAAGGAAGCTAAAGATTGCCGTGCGTGTCCACCTTTAAATGAGCTTTAATCATTTTTCGGCTCAATTCTTCTATATATTTTTTGGTTTCCTGACTATTTATAAATTGGAGAATCCGATATAAAAGCTTAAAGAGGACTTTTTATATCCCCGAGGTGCTAATGCGGATAAGACTCCCCGTGTTGGGGAAATTGTAATTCTTAGAGATCCTGTCCCCTTACCCACTCTG